CGGAGACTGTAGCAGCGTGTGGTGAGCTGTGTCTCGGAGACTGTAGCGGCGTGTGGTGAGCTGTGTCTCGGAGACTGTATCAGCGTGTGGTGAGCTGTGTCTCGGAGACTGTAGCAGCGTGTGGTGAGCTGTGTCTCGGAGACTGTAGCAGCGTGTGGTGAGCTGTGTCTCGGAGACTGTAGCAGCGTGTGGTAAGCCGTGTCTCGGAGACTGTAGCAGCGTGTGGTGAGCCGTGTCTCGGAGACTGCTGATACATCGGAGCAGACGGTCAGGGTTTTGTTTATAGAGGAGGTTTGTTCACCTCTGCCGTGGTCCAGTGCGGGTACCCTAACCCCTGCACCACCATCATTAGGACAGCATAGTTCTTGCAATGTGAGGCTGGATTCGCTGAAGCGTCCGTCTGTGTGACACCGTCTGATGCCCAAAAGAAATCTGTGAAGAACTTGTTCTGTGTGAAGTTTTCACCGGTGGATTACTGGGTTTCCCTGGAGAGGTCAGAGTTTATTGAACGTGCAGCTATCGTCCAAAGCCAGTTTCTTGTAATCAATAGAAAAGTGTGATATATTGTTATAATAGATTTCGTTCTTGTTGAGTTTCATTTCTTCTTCTTTATTGGATACCATCTTCGCCGAGTATCGCTTGTGAGCGCTCGTTGGATATCGTCGTGAGTACTCGTTCTGTGCGGCTTCTGTGCGGGTTTTTCCAACAACGCCGGAGCCAGAGGGAATTGTTTCCTTTGTTCAGCCTGCTCGAGAGTACATTTCCCTGTGTCTTTGGCCCTCACGTACAAAGGAAATAGCACATCTCACGTACAAAGGAAATAGCACATCTCACGTACAAAGGAAATAGCACATCTCACGTACAAAGGAAATAGCACATCTGGCTTTCACCTGTATCCCACTCTCGCCATTTAGTCCAGACGACAAGAGTCTGGTCACCCACACATCGTCCACTGACCTCTCTCCGAGCCAGTCCATGTGTCAGTGGCGACCTTTGGGTCACCTTCTCTGCCAGAATCCCCTGCATGTTCATGAGGTCAGCCGTTGCCTAGCAACCGTGCGGTCACCATGAAAGAGTCTCCGACAGAGAGCGGAGGGGGCGGGCTGTCTGCAGACAACAGCTCGGGTACCGTGTTCATCCGGGTGGCTGTGCCGGAGCTCAAAGTACAGGTGCGTCACCTTTTGGCTTGTGTCTGTCTGTCTATCTATCTATCTATCTATCTATCTATCTATCTATCTATCTATCTATCTATCTCTGTGTATCTTTCCGTTTATCTATTGCTCAAAGGACAGGTGCGTCACCTTTTCGCTGGTGTCTGTCTGTGCGTTACCTTTTGAGCGGGCCATCGCCACTGTCTGTCTGTGTATGTAGTTATCTAGCATTCTCCCTGTCTGTCTGTCTGTCTGTCTGTCTGTCTGTCTGTCTGTCTGTCTGTCTGTCTG